AACAAATCTACTCCAGGTAGCTTCAGGCTCTCCGTCTTATAATGGGCGGTTTACCATTTGCTGGTTGAAGGTTTTTTGAAAGCAAACCGTTCCTGATAACGCTAAAAATATTCGTTTCAGCTGCAGGTAAATCACTGTTACGTAAGTGTTACGTAAATTGAACAGATATTCTCATCCAATCATTACAACAGAGAAATTTCTTGAACATGTAATGGTTTAAACTAAAAAGCGAAAGAGAAAAACATACGGAGATTATTTATTAACATTGGAAAGTAAAGTTTTTACTTATCTAAATATTTATTACGTTTAAAGTCAAATGTGTATAATAAGGAAATAATTCCGTTAAACCATCTGGCATGGCGGTTTGAAGATGATTTAAGCAGAGATTACATTTAAATCACCTAATATATATTATATATAAATTGTGTAAAAAACAATATAGACAGTGGCAGTGTAATAAAAAATAAATGTCAATTTTATTGAGATTTATTAGAATATAACATTACTTTTTATTTAGTTATAAGTATTAGTAAATATTTTAATGTTTTTTAAATTTAAATATATTTGATAATACCGTGTAATCGAAAAAAAAACGACATCCAGTTGGCTCGGAATTGACTATCGATGATATTATGTATCTATATAGTTTTTCCACAGAGACCAGCTCTCCATCTTCAACATCAGCCGTACCAAAGTTTATGGCATGAAGGGTTGACGTCTCGACGCACTCAGTGATAAGTTGTTCTGGTGTTTTCCCATTTTCCCCACAGAATCTGCATTCGCTGTTTTGTTTCTCAGCTTCAATCTATTGAGGTCTAATGAGGTAAAATAACTCCGTCATTTTGGACTTATTTGAAAAACGATAAAGAGAAAATATGTTTCTTTTATCGAGATCCCACCCCTTAAAATACTTGCACTTATTTCTGGAACACCCTGTATAATTCGGTATAAATTCTTATAACTGTTTTTTTTTCTCAGGTAAGATTTCGACAGACGATGACAGAAAAAAAGCAGATGACTTCCATACCAATACATTTATTTATTTTTTAAGTTAACTATGGATGGGTATATAAATAAATCCGTCATGCGCCATCTCTTGTTGTTTTTAACCAGTTTTATTGGTTTATTTCAAAAATGACAGATCATATTTCAATATTACCGGTTTAACGGAACGATGAACGACAAAGGGACGCCGATGCGTACGAACTCGACTTAAAATTTTTTGAGAGTTGTTAAACTGTTGCTAAATTATAGGTTATAATTTTGTGTCAAATTATGTCAAATAGAAATGATAAATATTTTTCATTTTGCATTTTGGACTGTGCTATTACGTGTTTCGAGTTTTTTTTTTAATTAAGTGGACGAAAACTCAAAGGGGAATTTAAGTGTTGACCCAGGCCATAGTTTACAGTTAATATTTGTATTTTAATAAAGCACGCTTTTAGATGTTTCAAAAAACTTTTAATAAGAGTAACTTTAACTCAACATATATGTTTCGGCTTGTTAGGCCTTTTTCAAGAGTTTTTTAAGAACTAATCGTCTAACTACACTGTAACTATATATATATTTACTATGGGGGTGGGTTCAGAGAGTTTACAATAGGGGTAAAAAATGTGTTTAGAAATCCTTGTTGGTCGTTAACATTATTTTCGTTTTTAACAGATTTTAGTATTTCTAACTGTTCAATGTAATTTAAGCGTCTACCTTTTGTTTCTCTGTGTAGTAACTTAATTGAGTTTTCATTAATTTTGTGATTATTCACTATACAATGAGTTGCAAGACCAGAACTATGCTGGAGATTATTAATAGACTTTACATGTTCTTTAATCCTTATATCTAAATTTCTACCTGTTTGGCCTATGTACACGGCATCACAATCATTGCAATCCACCCTATATACACCCGACTTATTTTTGACATTAGTTTTGTCTTTATTATTTAATAAAATTTGACCTAAATTTCTTTTATTTACGTTAATAGTTTTACATCCTATTTTATTGAGATTATTTGAAATTTTGTTAGTTAAATTAGGAATGTAGTTTAAAAGTCGATAATTGTTATTGTCTTTAGAATTAGCGGAATAAAAATTTTCATTAATATTTTCTTTTGTTTTATGAAAAATTTTTATTCCGCTAATTCTAAAGACAATAACAATTATCGACTTTTAAACTACATTCCTAATTTAACTAACAAAATTTCAAATAATCTCAATAAAATAGGATGTAAAACTATTAACGTAAATAAAAGAAATTTAGGTCAAATTTTATTAAATAATAAAGACAAAACTAATGTCAAAAATAAGTCGGGTGTATATAGGGTGGATTGCAATGATTGTGATGCCGTGTACATAGGCCAAACAGGTAGAAATTTAGATATAAGGATTAAAGAACATGTAAAGTCTATTAATAATCTCCAGCATAGTTCTGGTCTTGCAACTCATTGTATAGTGAATAATCACAAAATTAATGAAAACTCAATTAAGTTACTACACAGAGAAACAAAAGGTAGACGCTTAAATTACATTGAACAGTTAGAAATACTAAAATCTGTTAAAAAACGAAAATAATGTTAACGACCAACAAGGATTTCTAAACACATTTTTTACCCCTATTGTAAACTCTCTGAACCCACCCCCATAGTAAATATATATATAGTTACAGTGTAGTTAGACGATTAGTTCTTAAAAAACTCTTGAAAAAGGCCTAACAAGCCGAAACATATATGTTGAGTTAAAGTTACTCTTATTAAAAGTTTTTTGAAACATCTAAAAGCGTGCTTTATTAAAATACTAATATTTCAACGATGTTTCACAAGGAACCAACCACAGCTTCAGTACAATTTAGTTAATATTCGGTGCCCAGAGACAGTTTGCCAGAGAGTTGTATTAGCCACAAATAAAGTTTGTATACTATCTTGTATATGATACCAAAAACTGGAGCATCTGTAAAATAGCAGCACACGATAGGTAAATAATAATAATATTAAATAATTATATTGATAAATGTAACAATAAATGCAGGAAGTTGCTTGAGCTTGAAACACGGCTTGAAAGCAGAAAATCTTTTTTATATCTTTTTTTGGTATGTGGTGTTTTTTAAAATACACCCTTGCTTGTTTTGTATTAACACATACTGTAATTGTTTTTAAATAATTTTATACAGTTTTGTTCACAATATTTTGAAGTAATCACTTGTCACTCAAATTTTAAATATATTAATTTTCTTCTACGCGTTCCAATTGTACCAACTTATTTCTTTGTAAAATAAAATAAACTACTTTGAAAATAAAATGACAGACACATCTATCACTGGATCTTGTCGTTGGACAGACTATATAAAGTTTTTGGCATACCCTGTATGAATCGATTTTGCATCAAATTTAGGTCTCCCGAACTTACGTCCAAATTTCAATTATGTCAGATGAAAACAATTAGCGTTCGTTGACATGCACAAAAATCTCGCAGTTCTATTGGCCAGTAGGCAATAAATCTATGCAGCGCGTTTTAACAAGGTTGAAATCGATTATCAATCTAGTATCTCGTTGTTCTGGCACATATTGGGCTGAATGACAATGGTTTTTTGTCTACACTTTGAAAATAATCATCATAAACCATTTAAATTAAACTGACTTTTATTTAGTTTATTAGAAAAGTAAATAAAGGAATATTTATGCACTTATTAAATCAAGGAACCCCTTCAAGGTTACCTCACTGAAGTAAGATTACAAAATTTTTACAATTTTCGAGAAAATTCAGTAACAAATTTAATGCTTAATTTTTCTAAGCGTATTAAGTTTTCAAACCCAAAATGCAATGTAGTTTTCACATTTAATAAATATTGTGTTGAAATAATAAAAATAATAAGAGCTTATTATATACAGTACTTAACTAAACGGCAATAACATGTTTAACACTTTGTATAATGTGCTAGCATCAGATGCAAAATTTAAATATCTATCCAAATGACAGATGACACCTTTTTAGCAACGTCTTCGAATTTTATAAATATATAGTATGTAATTAGATAAATATACTGTGTGGTGCATCGGAACAAGGGACATAGGAAATCCCATGTAAATTTTGAAAAGGTCAAATATTATCTCCCCAGATAATTTTATGCAAAAGTTGTATTATACTTTTTTGAAGAGGCACTAAAGTTGTACTTTTTTCTAGAATTTCGTTTCATTTGGAATGGGCATTTAGAACTTATTTGCAAGAATCTACCTTCAAATTAATAAAATTTATAATACGGCTCAGAGATAGTTACAATTAAAATACCAGCAAAAATATTATTTTGTCATTGTCAAATTCGATAACATTTGTTTACAGGAATTTGAAGGTATCAAATAGAGTAAGAGTTTGTATAAAATAATTATGATTACCGGTAAAATATAAGAGAAAAATCAGTGGGTGGCTTTGATAAAAATTTACTGTGCAAAATACCATAATGAAATATAAAACCGCGAAAATCTGCAAAACCGTTAACAATTTTGAAATACTCTAAATACAAAAAATGTTAATTTTTTAATTCTCCATTTCTTGAAAAAATAATATACAGGGTGTTACCTTAAAAAAACAAAGAAATATTATTTTGTATTTTAGAAAGTCTGGCGTAGAATTTTGAGCACCCTGTATGATTTACGATTACGATACCTAATATAGTTTTGATTTTAGGCCAGTTCTTGTACTTTTAATAATTTTTTTAAGAAAGGCTGAAAAATATATATTTTTCATTTATTTATTAATATCTGTGAAACTATCGAAATATACTTACTCATATCTTAGGAGTATGTAAAGTGATCTGAAAGAAAGCCAAAAATTCAATAATATACAGTGTGTTCCATTTTAAAAAAATCATCCCGATCCATTCACACTTTTTTGAGCCACCCTATAGAAGTTAAAATATTTTCCTGAAATACATCCTAGTACATACTTAAGGTTTGTACCAAACCAAACCAAACCAAATAAGTTTCATTTATTAAGTCATTAATAAGTCTCTGAGATGATTTATCCTTACATGAACAAAAACACAAACAACAAATATGACACAACAGAAGCTGAAACGGAGCAAGCCACTCTATCATATCCAAGATATAAAGTCAACTTGTTAGAAGATGACAGTATTAAATACCTCTACCAACGACGTATCAAGCATCATTTACAGAAAGAACAACCCAAGCATACTATTGAAGAAGAACATACCCGAATTACACAAGCCGTACATCAAGCAATGCAGGAAGCTGTAGGATATAAGGAGCAAATCAAGAACCAACCTATATGGATGACGGATAAGCTTGAAGAGAAGATAAGTGAAAAGAAGTTGAATTATAATAACTGGTTAGGAAATCCAACAGATGAAAATTGGTTAGCATATAAGAAGTTACAAAAGGAAGTTCGACAACAAGTAACCGAGGAAAAGAATAGTATGTGGGAAAGAAAATGCAATGATATTGAGACTTACATTGGGGGATTTCGATCTACGGAAGCATGGAGAACTCTGAAAGGGATGAAAGCAAATACGCGTGAACGATGGACGGGAACTATATCTTTAAGTGATTGGAGGGAACATTATGAAAACCTATTAATAGAGCAACGACCACAGTTTTTACAAAACAATGAAGCCGTCACTATTACAGAAGCTAGAACAAATATATCGATCGAGGAAGTTAATCAAGCCTTGGTGTCTATGAAAAACGGTAGAGCTCTAGGACCGGGTGGTATTATGGCTGAAATGCTAAAATATGGCGGAGAATGTCTTATAACAGAAATAACAAACTTAATGCAGATGTGTGTAGATCGGAATAAAATACCTAATGAATGGAAGTTAGCCTATATCACTTCTATATATAAAAAAGGGAACAGAAAAGACCCGAATAACTACAGAGGTCTTAGTGTGAATTGCACCTTCAGCAGACTTTTTACAAAAATAATTAGAAATAAGTTAGAAATATCTACATACAACAAAATCAGTCAAGAGCAGAGTGGCTTTACTGCAGGGCGTTCGTGTATAGATAATCTATTTACTATCCAACAACTGAGAGAAAAACGGAATTCACGTGAAGAAGATACGCATCTAGCTTTTGTAAACCTTCAAAAAGCTTACGACTCCATCCCCAGAGTTAAACTATGGTACATACTGGAACAACTTGATGTGGATGAATGTCTCATAAATTTAATTAAGGTGCTGTACAACAACAACACAGCTCGTGATAAAAAGCGGTAACAAACTGTCTGAGGTAATTTTTACAACTAAAGGCCTTGGACAGGGATGTCCTCTGTCGCCTCTTTTATTTAATCTGTATTTGGAAGTGGTTCTTAGGGACTGGAAGAAGAGGTGTGGGGGAATGGGCGTCCCTGTAGGAGATGACTGTTTGGTTACATTGAATTTTGCCGATGATCAGGTGGTCATAGCTCAAGATGCTTACGATCTTGAATTCATGATGAGCAGGTTAAATTCGGCATACACGGAATGGGGCCTTACTGTGAACATTGATAAAACGGAATATCTATTGACCAATTCAGATGATAAATTTGATATTTTTATTACTGACAATGCAAAGCTCAGACAGGTTGAATGGTTTAAATATTTGGGGGCACGTATAACCAGAAAGGGACTGGACAAAACAGAAGTATCTGCTAGAATAGAACAAGGGCGGAAGATTATAGGAGCACTGAATGGCATCTGGTGGGACAAAAACATAAGACCAAACACAAAAGTACATATTGGAAGAGCCCTAGCGGAGTCGGTAGTAACTTATGGGTGTGAAGTTTGGACCTTAAAAGCTGAACAAAAGCGAGCTTTGAATGCACTCGAAATGGACTATTTGAGAAGCAGTGCGGGAGTATCTAAACTGGACAGAGTTAGGAACGTGGAAATCAGAGCCAAAATGGATGCCACACAGACAATAGTGGATAGAGTCGAACAGAGGGGCCTTAAGTGGTTTGGACACTTGCTACGCATGGAACACCAAAGATGGCCCTACCGTATCTACAGCTGGTCACCTCCTGGAAAAAGGAAACGAGGACGGCCTAGAAGATCCTGGAATGAGGCCATCAGAAGGGCAATGGAGGACCGTAACTTGGAAGAGGAAGATGTTCTTGATCGTAACAGGTGGCGGTTAGGCGTGGGGATGCGACGTTAGTTGCGACAAGTATATATATAATAAGTTTCATTCTTCTGAACGTCAAAATTCGTCGTAAGTAGTACTTTTCAATTGGAAGTAAAAGTTAACTGAATTCAGAACCTCGAAATTAGTTGAATAAATTAGTGGTTTCAATTAGCGTAGAAGTTTATTTCTCTAATTTCAAAGTCAACATTCCGAATGTGAAAATTAGTGGTAAAAGTAGTAGAAAAAGTTCAACAAACATTTAATTTTTTCCACTAATTATACTTATATTATTATAATAATAGTATATTATACTAATTATACACATACAAAATTTACCAGTAATGTCATTTTGGCCTTTATTTATCATCCGTCAAGAGAAATTCTGGTTTTAAACTAATTATTAGGTAAAATTGAAACCCCTAATTTTCCACTAATTTCGAAGTTCTGAATGAGTTCTTAATAAATTAGTGAACTCACTTATACTTTATACTTAAAAGTATAAGTGTATACTTAAAAGTATAAGCTCACTAATTTATTCCACTACACTTTGATGTTTTTTTTCATTTTAATGTTTTGAATGAAGCATTAACAATTTTTATAAAAGTACGCATGGTTGGTTGGTTGAAGTGTCGAATGCAACCGCTTTTCGAACTGCCGTTAGCAGAGTTGCTGTTTTGATACCACCTTCTATGAGACCTATAAAACCCATGGCCATGAGGCCTATCCCTAGGGATGGTACAGTTCGATTATTTCACTATAACCCTTCGGTAGAATTGAGATAACGGGTGACGTCCGTTATGCTCTTCCCGGCAGCATCTTCAAGATCTACGAAGCTGTAGCCTCCGAGGAAACAATTCCGGGTGCTATACAAAAGTACGCATACTAATAGTACTGACATTGATTTAAGCTCATTTGTTAAAAAAAATATTTAAATATAACACACTAGTTGAAGTTCTAAACTGTCGCACATTTACCGCAAACGGAAACGATTAAAATGTAAAATCACTTTTCCATAAACTTTTTCAGTCTCTCGTTATACGATACAGACATACAATTACGTGTTTTATGTAAGATTAATCAATTCCCAAAGGTATTCGCGACTCAAATGCCACGGCAAATGCCATAGTTTTCCAATTTGCTGCAAAAAGATGTCGGCGAGATTAATGTTCGAAACCGATTTCTCTATCTCACTAATTTCAGCCGGTAATAACAGGAAATTTGTTTCTGAGATTGTTGTGTCCGCTTGCCGGCGATACTTGAACGAAATTCGTCGTTAGTATTCAGGCGGGGTTAATTCAGACCCCATTTCGATCCATATAGATATATATTATGTCGCTTAAATACGAATAGGCTTATAGATTAATGCTGGAATATTATGTTTCCCACCATATGTAAATTACTCCTAAGCTCTTTATTAATAATATTACTAGTAACTAAATACAGGGTGGCGCCTCTCATACGCCGCGGAGGCTCCGAGGAGAACGACAGTTTGTATTGAAATGAAATTTTGTGAGCATATGTAGTATGTAGGTTAATTCAGAGCACTTTTTAAATATATAGAGAGTTCTACAGGGTGTTCGCAAAAAAAGTTACATATCTTAGTTATATTACTCTAAGTATACATAAGTTGTGTTTTTGTAATCGAACACCCTATATACGAGTATTAATTGATTTTCGGATTCTGGGAAAAAATAAAGGTGAGTTTTATAAGAGAAGTATATGACTAAAATGTAAGGTTTTTGACATATTTAACATTTTCTAGAAATAAAAAACAATTTTTAAATTACAATAACAGCTACCTAAATTGGAATTTACCCGGTATAGCCTAGTATGTAGTTAAATTAACTATTGTCAATAAATCAAATTAAAACTTGATTCAAAAAGTTATACAGGGTGAGACAAAATTAATATTGAACAATGGTCACCTTTAAAAGCATGTTACTCTTTTATTTTAAATGGAACACCCAGTATATTATTCCGATATTCAATTGAGAATTCATGTCTCTTCAAAATACTATTAAAGTTGCCTACCCCTCAAACAGAGATTTTCCTAGATATTTTCATTGACATATGTATGTACATGATTTGATCTGAGTAGATCTTTATTATTTGATAAAATCTAGGTGGCTATGATATGTCTGACGTTACTTCAACATAGCTGTCTAATTAGTCCAACTTTAACAACTAGTTATCATTTTGTGTCAGTTAAAACAAAAAAAATTCTCAGAAATCTGTCAAAAATGCAAACTTATCGTACATCAGAGAGAATTGATATGATTCTATTAGTTGGTGAATACAGAGTGCATTCATCAATTAATAGAATACTTAAATGCTCCTGATTTTATCTAGTCTGGTTTTTTTTTATGAGGATATGTTAAAGAGAGTGTTTTCAAAATTATACTGAAACCAAAGACATTATAAATATAAACCGAACATCTCATTCATAAATACTCGTTGGTAGTGTATCAAACATTCCAATGTGTCAAACAAGGATAGAAGAGACAGAGAAGTCTAAAATTTCCGACCCCGGCAACTAGGCGCATTTGGATTGTTCTAATGGCCAGTGGCGTATCGGTTTTTGGAACGAATTTAATTAGTAAAGTAAAAGTAAAGCAATTAGTAAAATGTTTACTCCATATTAATATACTACATTAACACTTTTTCGTCAGATGAGTTTTGTTATAAGGTCTAATATAATTATATAATTAATATCCCACATATACTTATGTTGAAACGTTAGTAGGTAGTTTTCGAAAATCGCTCTAACGTCGATTTTCAATTTAAACTTTCAGTTAATTCTATATAAACTTTCAGTTACTTTTGAATATTTACAGGGTGACTCAGGCTTCCGAAACAGTTTTATATTAGGTTTGTGGTTGGTGACTTTTCTTTCAATTTTTTTTTCAGAATATGGAGGCAATGGTAAAGCACATTTTAGACATTTTTGTAAACATAGGTGGCCGGAACATATTTTCAAACTAAAGTTGTAGGTTTACCATTAAATTTCCATTCCAGAAATACCTAGGGTTGCCACCTATCCTTTTTTGAAAAGGAGAGTCCTTTTTTGGAATAACTTGTCCTTTTGACTTTTTTTGACTTAAAAAGTCATTTTTATTTACGTATTTTCCCTGAGAAAATTACCTACAGCAAACAGAAATATTATTTTCGTCCAAATTTAATTAGAGATGTTATAAAACTTATAAATAAATTGTTCTTGTTTAGAATAGGCAACATTATTTAGAACTTCCCGTTTAATCTCAAATGATAATTTAGGTTTTAGTTTTACCTTTTTTGATCTTAAAAAGAACTGTTTAAAATTAGTAATTAGTAACGATTTAGTTAGTTCGCCATCGATAGCTTCCTGTAAAGTACTATGTAGTAGTTGTTTAATCTTGTATTATTAATAACTTCCTATACCTAAAATCAATTTTTAATGACAAAATTGTGTTTTTTTGAAAATATAAGACAAGATTTGACTCTTTCGGTCTTCTTCTTGTATTATGATGGCTCTGATACGAGGCAATTACCTTTTAGTCTCTCAATAGAAGGCATTTATCATTAAAAGTATCAAATCTGTGTGCTACAGTATGGGATTTCTGTCGCATAATAATGAATATTACGTTTATTTACAAATCCATTACTTTTAAAGGTAGCTTCATGAGACAATAAAATTTTAGTTAAATGTCCCAATCTTCATGAACTGTATTAAGCATATGTATTGCGGTTTGAATCACCCCGAGAATCACCCTGTATGTTGACAAAAATATTTTGAAAATGTGCGTTACAATGGCCCCCATCTTATGTAAAAAATTGAAATAAAAATTACAAACCAAAAACGTAATAGGTAAAAAGCTTCTTTGGAGGCCTGGGTCACTCTGTATATAAGTATGTATAAAACTAGTAGCCTAAGAATTATTTACAGTTCGTTCCATTTTAAAAAAAAGGTAAACACACAGTATAAATAACTCTAGGAAGAGGTATTTGTACGGTGGTAAAAAATTGTTTAAACGAGGCCGAAGGGGCAGATATAATAATGCAATAAAATGTAAAATAGGGCGGTTTTTTTTATAACCTTTGTTTATTTGTTGAGCAAAATTCCTTTAGAATATCGTAT